TGTTACGCAACTTTAGCTACTGTCTAGACTACTGTAGCGGAGTCGACAATTGAACGGTGTTTAAAATAGTTTAATGCTTGTCTATCAGTTATGCAACCGTAACTACGCGCTGCCATTCGTGTTTACCAGAGCAGGGGTTATTAAACTTACGCAGATAGAGTTGTAGGAAGTAACGTGAATCGATTACTCTATTCCAGTGAATCGTTTAAACACGATCGCGAATCATCTTTTGATCCTTAGTCATTTCTTTTTCACATTCCGATTGAGAATCGAGTTTTTATTATTTGAGATCAATCAGGTTTTTAAAATAGTACGACAATTTTTCGTAGTGAGTTTCTTAACATTTTTATGAATTCCAATCCGAGACGAGTAGCACAGAATAGAAAAGCCAAACTTTGTTTATAAACTCGGTTCGTGGTTTAAAACGTAAAGTCTGGTGAAGAGTACTATAATTTACCATCGGTTTTAGTAAGTCGATCATAATAAACCAGATGAGTAAGTAAAAGATCTGACCTTGCATACGCGAGTACACGTTGAGGCCGGGTTTAATAATCTTCATGACCATATTAAATAGTTACGAGGAAAAACCTCGCCGGTGTAAACTGCGAGGGCTATAAAAGATCAGCCTGCGTGTCTTGGAAACCACCATGTGGCGTTCTATACAATCCCCTTTTTTTTATAACAAGAACAGTTTTGATAATATGTTGGGAAGAAGTGTTTGAGCTTGCTATCCATCGATACCATAGGAAAGTATGCACATGAAACGTCGTCTTGTTCTTTTAACTTAATTAAAACCAGCTGAAATATTGGCTGGGTTTTCCGACAGGTTTTCACAAAATCTAAATAAATTATTACTCAGGATATCATGAGATCATTTAATGATTTAGCAAGCATAGTGACATGAAGATGTTCCATATGCATTGAATTAACGAGCTAGAGATCAAGTAAGACGCTTTTGTTATTTCACTTGGCAATCAAAAATTTGGCCCACATTCCAGATGAAATCCCACCGAATGTTGGACCACGATAAAGCTAGTTGCGACGATATGACTGTTTATGGTGTTGCGTTACAGCTTTAAGATTTATATAACAGCCAGTGTATCTACGAAGGTGACTGACCTATTTACTATTACCCGTGGCTGTGTTATCTGCGGTAACCGGCGGGCCTGTATGAGTTATTTTTTTCGGTCAACTTGTCTAGGATGACATAGGCGCAGGTGTAACTCACGCCGAGCTGGCGACATGATTAGACGAACGATAAAAATTGCGATACCAGTTTCCTAGATAAGATTTTTCTTTTGGAAGGACTTTCTACATTGACGTCTCATACAAAGTACATAACGTTCGCGTGAATTAGAAAAAAATATGTAACCTTTTACTCTGCTCTATCGGTTATCAAATGTGAAAGTTGGTAACTAATATTGTCTTTGATCGTGAGTCACCGTCTTTATATCAGATCGATACTTGATACTTTAAAATCCTATTTGCTCTATGGTCAGCATATTCTAAACACGTGATTTAATATTCGTGTAATTAAATTATTACAGTTGGTATCACGTAATTATTATTCAATAGTAGAAATTGATTCTCAGATTTTAATGATACGAAAACGAATCCTCATATTTCCTGGATTTCAGTCAATTTTCACACGGTAATAAAAAAACTTTCTCTTCGTAGTATGCAGATTATTACGGTTAATGTGCCGTTTCGAAATCGAACGATGAATCATTCTTCTCCTTCGCATTATAATGTCGTTAGTTTTATATTTGCTAGAGATTTGAGCGAGATTCGAGACTGTTATCGTTCAAGGCGAATAACATTTTCTATAACGAGTACAGGAAGTAGATAAAAAAATTTCATCGTCGAAAAATGATCATTTGAATTAATAAATGAAGGACTGTCTTAATTGTGATTCAATCTCTTAATATTAGCCACTTGTGATTAGACATAACATAGACGTCCGTCTTTGTAAATCCTTGAGAGTTCGCAATTTCGCGTTTGGAACGGCTCAGGTTTCTAAGCGATTAGCGGTTCGTTTTTACAACCCGAATTTAAAGGGGTGACGTTATCACCGTGGTAGGAAGGTTAGAGACGCATGCACATACGTAAAGATTTGGAAGTGCGAGGTCAAGATCCACTTAAGAACACTCTGATGCGTCTGTCCGTCCATCCGTCCGTCTGTCCGTCCGTCTGTATAGATCTTGACAGGAATCTTGATCTCCAGCTCTTCTCTGTTCACACTGCGTGAAAGTCTCGAGTGGTTTCGGTAGAAGCGGTGTAGGTACAATGATGGATGGGTTATTCTTTTCGTGGATAGGGTCGAGAAAAGTTGGATTACATTCTTCAAACGATCTCATTGCCGGCGATAATTACATGCAACCGCCTTTGTTGATCCTCGTCAGAAACTTTTTTCTTAGTAACTTTTTTCCACAGGATATCCTTATCTGGTTGTTTGATGCAATTTTTGAATAAATTATGCCGGGCTCGCGGCGGAAGATCACGCGATTGGATACAAAGTAACGTTATGAATGCTATAAAAGTAAGACGCGCGCATGAGGAATGGTTGAAAAATGCTAATCGAAGAATGCAGTTAAACGCAGGCAGATAGGACGTAACAGAAACGAACGTAGAATTACCAATTTGTGCGACTGCTATCTGTTTGTACATCGTTTATTACGTTTTGCAGTTAAATCAAAGATACAATTATAATTCGGATCATAGAGTGAAACGTGACTAGATCGCAATTAATTTGAAAAAGCATCGCGGACACTGGTCGAGGTTCATCTATTTTTGCTACTGTTTATAATTAATTCGTTGTCACATTCGAATTGCGTGCGAGCATACTTGCGCTGCGCCGTCGCTGTTGGTCAATCGACCAGAATCAACCGGTTTCGATTGCTGCTCTAAGATATGATAGGGTTAAATTACTCATTAAATAAAGCAGCACGAGCATTTCATTCGATTAAACGCAGGCTAAGAATTATTCTGCCAGTGACGAAGCTTTATACACGCTTCGCTACGATCTGTTATGACAATCGGGCATGCATCTCTAGGATTATAAGCTTAATTCCTATCGCTGTGTATGCATCTTTCAGAGTGCATAGTTACAACATATTTTGACGTATCTTCTTCTCTTCGCACGGTAGCGATTAGCAACCGGCTTGAACTTTATTATTCGTAGAATATTTACACAGTCTCATTAAAAAAAAATAATTATTATAATCCAAAAATAATCATTCTTTAGAAATTAATTTTAAAGCATCCCTAAAAGGTTGTTGGAATTTATTTTAATTTAAATAAATTATTCATTAATTATAGTCCTTTCGTACAAAAATTTATTTTTTACACATTTCTCGTTGCTTCTGGTTCATCGCAAATGCACTTTGCGTTATAGTTACGATTAAATCGATGAATTTCGTTTCTCATAAATACCTATCGTCTATTAATAAAGAAAGAACAACAACCGAACGAGTCAAAAACTTGGCCACAATCGCTGCATTCACTCGATGAAAGGACTATTCACATAATTTCTCGTAGAGCAAAACATTTCGCGGTGAGGGCGATTTTATTATGCGAAATAAAAATGTTGTTTACTTAATGTGCAGCTGCCTAACTTCCAGTAGGCTCGTGCGAAAAACGGTCGATTCTTTTTGTAGCGCATCGAGTATCGTCGAAATTAATATCGAGCTTCTTGAAAATCCTGTTTGCTGGGCTTGCAAATCATGCTGCGCCGCGCTGCTTCTGACTGGCAATTTTGTATAGACGCACCCCGCCGACGAACGTTTCCACGCGTGATTACTTAATTCAAATCTGTGCAATTAAACGGCTATTTACCAGGATTACGCTCGAACTGCGTGAAGGAAGCACAATTTTTTATTTACTTTAATGTTATGGTCTCGAAAATTGTACGGACAAAATTACTGATAATGTCATAATAATTACTAATCGTGGCGGCTATTAATGATAAACGTTATAATGATAAATATTTTTCAACAATTTCTTTTTTCCTACACGATATTGAAGGTCTTGCCAGGACCTTGACGAGGAGATACTCGAAAGCATTTCATTCGTTCAAAAACGAAGCGTACAAACGTAATTTTTTTCATAGTAGCCGTTCCATGTCATCGTTTTCGAAACATTTCTTAGCTGACAGCTGGTAACTTGATTGCCTTATGATATTCGTTTGGAACGAGCTCCCCAATACTCTTGTCCGGTTTCTAATTTGCGTTGAAACGGTTGACACGGTTGGTGATCGGTGCTCAACGAGAAATTGATTACTCGCTCCTCCGATGTTTAATCTTGACTGAGAAGCAGAACGTGAGATAACGACGAAGAAAATCGGAGCGCGATTAGTAACACTCGAACGCGATCCACTTGTAAAGAGAACAATTACGCAAATTAAGCATCGTTGAAATAGCAATCGGATTCTCGACCAGGTGATAAGTTCTTCTATCTTGTAATCTGTTATCGGAGTCAGAAGCCGAGGCGCGTGTGACTGATTGCAGATTCACAACAAAGAATCACGTTCGAGCCAGGCTCGGTTAATAAACTATTTTTCTCTCGTGTCTACTCGAGTTGCTCCAGCGAGCTATCTATTTGCTAATTATCGGCAATTCGCGCTACAACATCGGCGACCTGTTCTCCGAGTCGAAAGTCAATGTTTCGTGCGCGCACCGGCCGTTGGAATAAATTACATGCGTCTTTTTATCGCGTTCAACTTCTATTACATTTCGTAACGTGACTGCGCGGCGTAAACCGAATCGGCTGAGCGGTACGCGGCAGAACGCAACGGCGCGAGTCACTTGCGAGAAGAAGCGAGTCGTTGGTTGATTTTTCAAACATTCGCGGAATCGCAATAAATTTTTTCCGACCGAACTAGGTACTAACGACCGGGTAACAGACGCTCGTGCTCCCTTCTTTCTCGCGGTGACTATTGGAACATGATTGTAACAGCCGTTCGTCGACTAATGAACTGCATTATTTCATTCTTCTGTTTCCAGACGAGGAACGTTGACACGGCGGAAGAAGAGGTGGAAGAAGAAGCACGCGGCCAGGAAAATTTATATCAACGCGGAACTCGCAAACCAGTACTCGTGAGTAACTTGGCTTGATAACTAGCAAAAAATCCTTGATTAGTACTTTGGTATACGCGTTGCAATCTCGCTCCCAAGAAGTTCAGACATTTTAATTAGATCAAAGATATCATCGGGCGGCTCGAGTTTCAATGCTCGATAGAGATACAAGTAGTATTAGAATATGAATACGACGCGAGCTTTCATTCACGAGTTATTAAGAAAAAATCACTTCACTAGCATTTACTTTTTTTTTATAATTCTATCTTACCAAAGTACGAAATCAGTAAATCAAAGGGTATGTGTAAAAATTATGAGATTGTTCATACACGATTATGACATTATCCTTGGACGGAACGAGGGTAACGACGAGTACAACCGTTTGAGGAAATCGAGATCGCTACTGCTTCCTCGTATTTGTCTAATTGTAGACGAGTCGAACTACTTAGTCGAGCTGGGAAAATTAGTCAAGTTACACATATATCAGTTAACCAGGCATTGCGGTGTGCGATGCGTTCGATCAATGGGAACGTCGGTGTGTATTACGGGAAACGATCAATGAAATAACTCGGCCGGGCTTGAAATGTACGATTAAGTGAAACTGCCAGCGTTACGTAAAACCGTCTTATTGTTCTTAGAAATGGAATAGACGGATAACGGTTGTGCGAGCAATTGACGACGCGCGACAACGTAATCTTTAATTCTCCTGTTTGGAGTAATTCGTATCGACCGTCTTCTCGCGTTCCAGTCGAATCAGATAGAAATCTTTTTCGTTTAATGCGAAGTAAACGCGGAGAGCTTGGAAAATTTACGAGCCGAGTCGAGCTCTTACGACCAGCAAGTTCCTTTGTGTTACGTGGGTTACGCAGGGTCGGCACGGCGGTGAATTTCGATTTGGGACAGCAAATGTGATTATGATAATGAGAAACTGCAGGTTTCGCAAACGGTTCGCGGAACTGTTCGCCGTGCGCGGTCTTCGTGGGTTCGAAAGCTGGCATGTGTATTACTTACGCGACGTTAATCCGTGTTCGAGGTAACACGATGGTCCGACTGACAGATTCGCATTAGTTCTTGTCTTCTCGTTAGATATGTGGTTCGGATCGTTCGTAGAGAAATTCAAGTATCCTTAATTATTCCATCACGTCAGTCGTACCGTTCTCATTGTCGTTGAATGATCAAACAGTTTTTTGTACTAAAGGTCTCTGGAAGTATCCGCGATACTGTCATTTAATTACGACGTCGCTGGAGGTAATAATGGTAATATATTTTTTGTATTCCTTCTATCGAAACTTCAATTAATTAAGTGGGCAATATAAACTTCATCAGTTCTGCTAATATTAGAAAAATCAAGTATTATATCGTACAGGCGTTTTTAATGTACTTCATATCAGTTTCAACGATCGTCGCAAAAAAGAGGAGACGTTCGAACACGATTGCATTTTATTAGCCCATTAAAACAAGCTGCTTGGGAGAGAGTAAACACATATTTATACGAATCGCATTTAATGTTTTATAAGCCTATATCACGTCATATTATCTATGTTATTACGTGATTCTTCGTTTGTCGGTCTGATCGAAATAGAGATTTGTAAGAACGAGAACATTATTTATCAATCAATCAATTATACTGTAACGTCGCTAATAGAACAGTTATAATATCTAATGATGGACGTCGAGTGGTCCACGTGTTTCGTCGGTGAGAAATTCCCGCGTTCCGAACGGGCGAAGGAATCCGCGGTGGTTGGGTGTTGACGCGAACTCGAATAATCTTGTTACGGTGGCCGGGACTGGTAGCCAGTGTCAACTTTTTTTTCTCCGGACGCACGTGCATTGACGTGTACCATCTGGTCGATGGACGTCGCCGTATAGCAATTGAACGTAATGATATTCTGGTACCATCCGAGTTACGTCGCCCTTTCTCCCTCTAACCGGGTCTCGCTTCATCCCTCTCGCCGTCCTCTTCTTCTTCCTTATACGATATCTCCCTCCCCACTTTAGTGGCTGTTAGCCGGCGTTGGCCATTGACCGACCTTCGTAGTTGAACTGTGCCGCGAGAAGATACGAGTTACTCCTTTCTCTCAATTCTCTCTTTCTCTCGATCTCTCTCCCTCTCATCGGATCTTCCTCTCTTTCCCTCGTTCGTTCGGCGTGTCGACCATGCGTCAAACGGTCTTCTGTATAGAGAACGAAATGCTGGAACCGGGATCCCCTAGGATCGCTCCAGAAAAAAATACCCCTTGCATCGTTCTTGTTATCCGATGATCGTTTCAATAATCATTTCTTAAGATCGTTAGAGAACCGACAGCGCGTACACGCTGTTTAATAGGATTTCTGGCCTGGTTTCGACGCCGCTGGAAATGTTTAATAACACGTTTTCCTGTTTGATTTGACGGATATCCCCCCTGACAGATTTGGTAGCCGACAAAGTTGCCCACAAAGTCGACGTGGAATTTGATAGATTCTTCAGCTAGATATCCCATGACTTTGATTGCCGCACAGATACCAACGTGGAATTACGTATACGTAGCTTTTCTTCGGATCCTCTTAGGATTATTTCCTGGCTCGAATCTTAAGTCGGTTCATTAATTAATCAGTTCTTGTCAAGATACCAGGAACCCATGTATCAATAACAGTTACTATTAGAATTAAAAAAACTGTATTCAAATTCTAAACCATTATTTGATACAAATAGACAATTATTTGTGATGGGATTTTGCAGTTATATCCCGTGATCTCATTATGTTTCCAATATCGCGAAAATTAATAGAAGACATTAAGTAAAATAGATTTAATATAAAAGAGAGTTGATTAAAGTCGATGATCCAAATAAGGATTCATTATGTAATAACCACAGTCTGATCAGTCTCTATCTAATGCTGCTTTCCCAGATGGTAGCAAATCCCAATGACTTCGTTAATTGCAAATATTTAAAAGTTCTACGATTAAGCCTGCCTACCGCAGCAGCAGCAGCAGCAGCAGCGTGCATCAACCGTTAATAATATTCCCGACGCGACGCGAGACGCGACGTCACGAATGTTCGGATTCTATGGACTTATCAAACGATATCGCGAGTATTCCGTTTATGAATGCGACCCCATCCTTTTATTAACATCGAATACTTGTCAAACGGGAATTATGACATTACGTATACATTATGAATAGAAAAAGAGACGCCAGGGAAGTTAATTAGTGGCTCTCTTCGGTGTAACGTTTGACAAGTTCCTGGGTGCCCGGCGACACGGCAGAGGTTCCGCGCCGCGGTACCCGTTATGGAAACTGGCGAAGTGCGCGCAGCTATTATATTAAAGCGATATCTAACCAAGACAAAACCAGCGGGCCTCGCTTCCGCGAGAGCATCGCGCGAGGTGTATCCGAGAGGAGAGACGAGAGAATCGTTTAAAATAAGTTTAGAACGTGACCGGTTTGCAGCCGATCGGCGGCGGTAGCTCGTTAATCGTCGGCATGGGGATCGTATTTCTAACGCAAGTACGTGCCTCCGGTAATGGCGTTTCTTTTCGGTCGGTGCGGCGCGTCGCGTCGCGTCGCTTTGCCTCGTTTTCCATGATCGTGTGTCCACTATCGTGCCGGTTTTTACAGATCGCGATCGCCCCGGTACAGAGCTCTTCTCTGCACGGATCCGTTCGAGATCACGCGCACGTCGACGTTCCCGTCTCGCGAGCCACTGATATAATTGACACGGCCAGACAGCTAAAGAATCTCGCGTGTTGCTCCACCGGCGAATTATCATAATTCGTTGACAAAGAAAAGAATCTTCATTGGCATTCCGTTAGCCGGAAGTGCAAGATGTTATTATGTTTCATCTGACTAAATTTTCACTGACAATGAACGCATTCGTCTGCCATGGTCGAGGCGATCGTTACACGTACCGTAGTTTCCCTTGAGCGACGCAATTTATTAATTAACTTCATCAAATATCATTTTCTCAAACATTGATTTCGATCATCGGCTTTTAATCCGTTCTCTACAAATGTTACATTGGATATTGTAACTGTAACGTCACGCGGATTGTAAAACACTTCGATCGGAATAACAGGGGCCGATCAATAACGTCGACAGGCGGAAAGAATCGAGGAGGAAATCACGAGCTCGCTATCAATGCAATTATACTTATGCTACGTAGGATTTCGATGTTATCTGTACGGGGCGCATCAAGCTGGAACGAGATTGCACATACCCCGCGTGTTATAATAATATCGAATCCTCTCGTACGAGTTTCGATCACGATGAGTATACAAATATACGATCATTAATTTAGCCAGTCTTTTTTATCCGGCCTTCGGCAATACCTGGTTAGTAGAGTTTTCTTTGCTTCTCGTTAGCCACGTTTTTCGCGTCTTCGATTTTTCATCACCGAATCGATTTATCGGCCGCCCACTTCCTGTTGTTACATATTTTCTATCATTAATTTTAAGATCGCTGAGAGAAAGAAAGAGAGGAAACGCGAATGCGATCAGAAATAACAAATACGAATATTTTTTAATCGCATAAAAGTCTCGTCGCAATGGAGATCTCAAAGACGATTATTAAGAGACTCGAAAATTGATCGGAGACACGTGCATTCGTTATGGGAATATTTATGATACTTAAATAATTCAACTGGCCTATGGGCTGTAATCGTCGTGAACACTCGCCACTCGGAACCGACGACATTGTGCGCTTCCAAACGTTTCCATTAAACGGCAATCAAATCTCGCTTTTGATAACCGACAATTTTCGGTGACTTAGTATTCATCAAGAAATAAATAGATAAAACGTGAGATAATCAAGTCGCGACGCGTAATAGATAAGGAAAATAAATATCGATAGGTACATACTGTCTTTGCTTAACATCATTGTTATAAAGGGAACAAGATAATCGTGTCGGAAAAAAGTTAATGATTCGGGTAGAATACGTATAGTTATTTGCAGACATCGAGTATGTCGTTGTAGATTCGGATAAAGGATTGATATCGAAGTTAAAATAGAAGCATATCGATCGAGAGCCAATATCTATCGTGTCC